ACTGGTGTTCATGTAAATATTCCTGCACTGCACATTCCCATTGAACCCCTCCTCAGACCTTAAGATGAAGCAATTCAGCATCTCTGATCTCTGACATGTTTAGGCTGGGTTAGGGAACAGAAATTGTTATTATCACCACCAGAGCTGCTGCAGCTCAGGTGCCTGCCCAGCCCTCAGAGCTGGAGCAGCTGCCAGGGGGAGCAGGAGGAAAGCTTGAGAAGCTCTGCTCTTCCAAGCCCTGCAAATTCAGAGCTGGGACTCTTCTCTCAGGGCTTGACCACACAGAGTCATTACAGAGCCCCTCCACTCATCCTCTCGAGGGGATGGAACATGGAATTCTTTCTAGGATGCTGATTATATCAGAGCCCTGTCTCTCCCCTCTGCAAGGGAGGCAAGAATGCTGCTGCACAAAGGAGTGCCTCAGGTCCAGCCCAGGTAAGACTGGAGTAATGCCTATGGGAAAGGAGCTGTCAGTCTGGCTACAATTTGAACCATTCTACATCTCCCTCTAAGTCTTTTCAGTGAGAAAATGAGAATTGGTGTGTTCAGTCTCAACTGGTTTTGTGATTAACTAGGAATGCTAAGTATTTATTTGTTGCTCCAACACTTGAAGATAGGAAAATCCACATCTAATTTTAGCATATTATAATCCAAGCACTTATCAACATAAAGCATAATTGCAACAGTGCATGTCAGTAAAGAATCACCTTTAATCAGCATTCCTTAGGATTTTTTTAGAATTTATCTCCAACTTGATACTAAAGAATCAGAACTAAATGATGCAGAATTTGGTAACAGCTTCTTTTTCTTATATGGTTGGAGGAACAGTGAAGTAAGTCCACAGTAGTTTGAAAACCCCCAAAACTTTAATCTAATTAGTAACTACCCAAAATGACATTTCACGATTATTTTAGGGTCATGTACAATCAGAAAGATGTCACTGCACCAATTAATCTCCAGCATTCAATCAATTTTTCTTTGCTAGATCTTACAGAACAAATGACCTTCTGGCAGAACAACTGCCCTGAAGCCTCTTTGTCTGAGGCACTGCTTGGGAGGAGGTGGAAATCTGGGGAGCACCTGGTCAGAACCTGTCTGTCTGCTCCAGTGCTGGGAGCGAGCTGTGCACACCACAACCTCTACTGCCTCCTGAACTGGATTCTGCTTTTGTCTTGCAGGTAGATCCCAAAAATCAGCCTTTGCTGGTGTTTTCCACAGATATCTCCTGGTCCATGAAGCCACAGCCAGGAGCATGTGGAGCATTTTAAATAGCAAGACCTACAAACACTGCTCCCTCCATTGTGACACTGATCCATGAGGGTCACAGCGGCTCACTGCTGCTTCCCAGTCCAAGAAGTTTAGGAAACACCACCTCAAATTATTTAATTCCTCCATCCAGAGCAAGGCATCTGTCTTCTTGTAGCAGTGATTTCATCAGGGAAGGTGGACAAGCTGAAACAAAACTCGCTGGGGTTCAAACAGGTCTTGGCAAGCAGCTTCAGTCTGTGTGCCCCAGAGCCCATCATTAATGTGATGGCTGGCAGGGTGAGCAGATTTGCCCTTTTACCTTCTCAGAGTACAGACTACAAAAATGTTTCCAAGTTGGTCTTTGAACAAACTGGAAGTTTTCAAGCTCAGGCCCTGCCTGTCCCCAGCAGCATTCCCAGAAGCACAGCACTCCCCAGGAAAAGGAGACAACTCTCACACAGGGCTCACACTGCCTGAACTACACAACGTGTTCAGCAAAGCCCAAATTGAGGATTGCTGTGAGGGCAGTGACCTAACCACCCTAAGAGATGTCACCCGTGCCACTCCCTGTCACCACACCCTTGCACAGAGCCCTGTCCCCAACATTCTGTCAGTATTTTCCACAATCTCCATTAAACACCTTGACAAAGCTACGTGCTATAAATCAAGCTCTGTGGGCAAACCTTCAGTTTCACAGGAATTTCAGGATGCTCTGTAACTTCATCCATCTTCTCATCTCTATTTCTATGTAATTCATTGTACCAGACCAGCACCTTGAAGGTTGTTCAGAAGTGACTGCACACATGTTCTGAGAGATGAACACAGTCTCTGTTACCGGTGTGACATTCTTCACTTACACTTTGCAGGGAAACACTGAAGATACAATCTCATGCCTCATGACACCCTTGTTCTCAGGGAAAAGTACTGAGGAATCAATACTGAGAGTGGTTTATATACTTATGAAAAAGTTATCAAACACAAGTCCTCCACAGCAAGAAAGTACAATGAGAACAGCACATTTCCAACAGTCTCAGACACCCTGTACATCACAGAATCACAGGGGCAGGAATGGAACTCAGCTCATCCAGTCCAATCCCCTTTTCCAGGCAGAGTAACCTGGATCAGGTAACACAGGAACACATCCAGGTGGGTTTGGAATGCCACCAGAAAGGGAGACTCCACAAGCTGCTTGACCAACCTGTTCCACTGCTCTGCCACCCTCCATGGAAAGAAGTTCTTCCTCAAATTGTGGTAGATTCTTTATATCTATATGCATATATATGCACAAACCTCAGTCCTGGCCACAAACTTTCCTTTGTATTGACCAAAAAGCCAGATAAGCCCAAGCCAGGAGACCTCGTTTTATTTCTACAGCAGCAGCATCCACACTCATCTCATACTCACACCTTTAGTTCCCAGCTCTTTACACCACAGAGAACTCACAGCACACGGTGCTTATGTGACTGAAGTCAACCCAGTCGTTAATGCCGACGATCAGAGGTCATGAGAATCCCTGCAGCAGCGTTATCCCAAAACCAGCAGCACCCAGGGCTCGTCAGAAAGAGACCAGCCCGACCCTGGTCCAGCGCCCGCACTTCGGGGGGCACCTGACGGTTCTGTTCAGCTGCCCCCCGCCCCCCCAGCCCCGGGACGAGGCGGACCAGCCCCCGTTTGCCCCAGTCCCTGCGCCCACCGCTGCCCACCTTGTTGTTGTACTCCTCCACGAAGCTCCCCAGCGCCAGGCGGAACCGCTTATCGGGCCGGACGCTCCAGTTCATGGCGTACACGGTCCAGGGCGCCTCATATTTGTAGATCTCCTTCCGCTTCCCGTGCAGCGACATGGCTGGGCCGGGGGGGCCGCGGGCCTGGCCCGGGGAGCGAGCGGACGGGTCCGGCTGCAGCGAGCGGGGAGGCGGGGCGGGCAGGGGGGAGGCTCAGCGCGGCCCCCGGGACGGGGAGCGGAGCAGGCACGGCACGGCACGGCCCCCTGGGCGTCGGGCAGCGGGGAAGGCTCGGCTCGCCTCTCGGAGCGGCGGGGGAAGCGCGGCGCGGCCCCCGGGGGAACGGGGAGGCCCCGGCTCGGCCCCCGGTCCCGGCCCAGACCCGGCGGCGGCAGCAGCGCTGAGGCCGTTTGGGACTCGGCCTCTCACACAACGGGAACGGAAGCCACGCGGGGAGCCCCACCCACTGCACGCGGGTTGGATGCCTTGACTGTCACTTAGAGCGTCGGTTGCCTATTGGGTAATCTGCCTGTGCGCTCGGCCGGGTTCGATTTTCTATTGGTCATTTTGCCCTTCACTCCAAACGGACGCTCGCGCTCTGGCTGGGGTAACCTACGGCTGCGCTTGGCCCCGTCCAGGAGGGCGGGCGCGCTCGTTGTCGACATCTTATTGGCTACCTGGGGTCGCAGTGACTGGAGGCAGGATCTTGAGCCCTTGTCGGTGATCGATTGGCTGGCAGTGATGTCAGTCACGCCAGCCCGAGGCGGGTGGGGCCACTTCAGGTTCTCGAGTGTGCCACGAGTTCGAATCCCGCCGAGTGGCGGACGGGCCCGGGTTTATCTCTAATTAACAAGAGGTTAATTATGTTGTTTATTTGACCTGACTGCAGGTGGGCTCTTCCAGCCCCACACTCCTTGCATGAAGTAACCTGGGTTTGACCTTCTTGGGGCGAAGATGCCCGGGATGAATTCATGGATGCTCCCAACCAACACAGCCATAATTCACATTAGGTGCCAAAAACATCTTTATTAGCAAAGTGTACACTAAAACTCCGGAGAAAGAGCTGCTCACAGTTTGACTACTCTCGGAGGGAGCTCGATACATTACTTGAGCTGGCGGCCTAGGACTATCACAGTATCTACCCGAGCGAGCGGCGAGGCGGCAGCACTACGTGGGCTTCTCCTACGGCCTCTGCGGAGAGAAGGGTGGCAGGGGGAAGCACCTATGGAACCCTTATCAAAAGAGAGAGCCTGGGACGGGCGACTGGATACGGGGCTTTTCAGCTTTCTGGGATTGTGCTTTTGAATTTTGTGCTTTATGCCCAGGCCGGTGACGAGCTGGATTTACCTGGGGAGCCGTGGGATGCGTGTTGGGGTTTGCAAGGTGTGATCAGCCTCGCTGGAGAAGTCAGTGCTCTGGGACTCACGCTGAAGCAGGCTGAGGTGGCAGGGGCTGTTGGCCCTTCACTTCTCAGTGGCAATCAAGTAGGACAAGCTTCTGTCCTCTGTCCTTGTCCTGGGCTTGCCACCTGCAGTTTGCCCTGGACCACACCGTGGAGATCTCACACTCCTCCTCTGGTGACCACCCTTCTGTGGGCTCTGCTGGACTGAGCCTTGTCCCAGCACAGTGGTCCCAGCTCCAGAGGTTTCCAGCACAGCAGCCTCGCAGCCCAGAGCCCTGGATTTGCTCTCCTCTGGTTGCTGTGGCTCTCTTGGCTTGTGCCCTTCTCGAGAAGAAGCCTTGGCAAGGAGGAGGTGGTGGGAACCACGTGGCCTAACCAGCTCGATGGTGGCTGTAAGAACTGTTCTAGGTTCGCTCTAATGTGCAAATGAAATCTACTCTATGGGAACCGCTGGAAAACGTTGACCTCGGAAGCCAGCCACTCTATCCTTCCTGTCACGGTGGCAGAAGATAGCTACAAATTGTACCCCTGAGCCAATGGCATTGTCCAATGTCTTACCCTTGCAGTCAAAATCAACATCAACTGGCCGGGCTTGCAGTTGAGGTTCCTCTTGACTGGCCCCCACATCTCTAACTTGCAGGAAGCACGGGGTCGGAGAGGTGTCTCTGAATGTCCTGGTGCTCGGAAGATGCCTCCAAGTGCTCGGGGAGGGAAGGGAAACGAGAGCCCCTCGAGAGTCCCTGGGTGCTTGGTGCCCTTTGGTGGGGAGGCTCTGGGCTGGGGAGAGGTGGGGAGTGGTGCTCCTGCTCGGAGTAGACGGTCAGGGTTTTGTCAGATGACACAGACAGCTGCATCCCGCTTGACAAGGAGTCCCTGGATTTCAAGTGGAACTTTTCTACCTCCGTGTAGCTCGGGCTCTGGTGGGAAACGAGGAATTGTATGAGTTATGGTAAAAGCAAAATAAAGCAGCCACACTCTCTCCTCATCAGGCTCCAAGTCCCAAAATGTTATTTTTCACTTGAGGGAGCCTCAGAGCAGAGGAACCCACTTCCTTCCCTACTGATGGGGCAACCTGGCAGCGTTGGGGATGGCAGCTGTGCCCCAAACCCAGTGATGCACTGGGCAGATCTGCTCCCAAGTCAAGACCCCGTGGCTTTGCTGGGCCCAATGAGTGTTTGGCTGTGCCTGGCCTGGAGAGAACTCGAGGCTGGGACAGAAGGACCCTGGTGGGTGCTGAGCCAGCAGGGGTGCCCTTACCTGCTCCTGGGTGGGCAGCTCCTGGTCCTGCAGCGTTGCACAGGGGCCGAGCGGCTCCAGGCTCCGCGGGACGATGCCGTACATGGCCAGGCTCTGGGAGCTGGGCGAGATGGGGCTGTACGCGGGCGGCACTTGGGACAGCTGGCGCTGCAGGAGCTGCAGGATTACATGAATGTCTGACGACATCCTGGACTCCAGCCTGGGGACAGAGCAGCCAGAGAACCCTTTTGCATCCTGCAGCTGGGCAGGGGAGGCACTGGGAGGAGGTGCCAATCCCGCTACCCCAGGGCAGTGATGCTTTGCCTGCTGCTTGTTGAGGTTTTTAGAGAGCTTCAAACCAGCACTGCCAGAGAGAGAGATCAATCCTGCCATCTCTCTCCTGCCACACTCAATCATCCTCTGCCCAATTTTATGTGGAGCCAAACTGGGATCTGGAGCAGGGATTTGAAAAAAGCTAAAATTACCCTGGAGGGGGGAAAAAATTGCAATGGTTAGTTTTAATCTGGATCAATTCTCCAGGCCAGCTGCCTGTGCTGACAGATGGAGCAAGGCAGGTTAGTGCCAACCACTTTTAACTCGGGAACAGAAGAAAACAGAAAAGTAGAAGTCTCTTCTTTCTGCCTTGTCCTTGAAGTGAACAACTCTGGCAGGAGTGGGCACAGCCCCACTTGCAGGACACGGTCACAGCATCACTGACAGAGTGGGCAGATCTGTCCCCCAGAGCTAGGATGGTGCACTGGAGAGACACCCAAACACAAGGGTGTGGTGAAATGAGCTCAACAAGGGCAAGCAGAACCCAAAGTGTCAGGGAGGTTCTGGGGGTGGTGACAGATGCCAAGGGTGGTGTCACAGCAGCAGATGAGGGGCTGGGCTGCAATCAGGGTCAGGACTTGCCCTTTGAGAAGCCGCTGCATTTGCAAAGCACTCCCACCCCCTCCCCAGGAATGCAGTGTCCCAGAGGTTGCTGCACACAGAGCCCACTGCAGCCACCTCTAGAAAACAGAAAGTGATGGCCCAGAGTCCCCCAGGTCCTGTCCACCCCTGCCCACCTGCTGAGCTGGGCCTGCAGGAGCTCCAGCCTGGACTCGATGTGCCCTGGCCTGCAGTCGCCGTGCAGGGGCACGTCCTGCGAGCTGTGCACCAGCGAGATGTGCTGCAGGGGCTCTGCAGGGTGGGCTGCCTGCCGGTCCTCCCAGAAGCTGAACATGTTGGGAATATCCAGGGGAGTGGCTGGAAGGAGAGGAGACACCTCAGCACTTGTCCATGCATCCTCCAGCCCCAGTGGAGATGCTTCAGATTCTGTCAGCTGACACACATGGAGAGCCATGACCAACACACATGGAGAGCCATGACCAACACACACGTGGAGCCACCACTGACATCATGGAGAGCTCTCCCCAACACACATGGAGAGCCACCACCCTGACATACATGGAGAGCCATGACCAACACACATGGAGAGCTATCCCCAACACTCATGGAGAGCCACCACCCACACACATGGAGAGCCACCACCCACACACATAGACAGCCACCACCACATGGAGTGGCACAGGAAGGACACAGCAGATCCAGCTGGGGAAAAGAGGCAGCCAAGACCCTTGGTCTTGGAGTGTGGCTCCCCTCAAATGCACATGAGCAGCTTATCCCTGCTCCAAGACAAGGCCACCACACCCAAGCATGTCTCCCCAGCCTCCTGCCAGCCCAGCCTGCAGCCCTGGGTACCTGTGTAGGACTGGCTGCTCTCTGCTGCCTGCTTGCCAAGCTCCGTGTTGCCAGCGCTGGTGGTGATGAGGCTGAGCGAGGGCAGAGCCAAGTCATCCTTTTTGGGTGTGGGGAAGGGCTCAGCTTTCACAGGGCTGCCAGTCTTGGCCTCATCATCACTGGCCTGGGAGCAGGGAGAGGTGCTGCTGCCCAGGTCGTCCCACTGGTCCTTACTCAGCGGCTCCTGCGGGTTGGTGAGCTCGGAGTAGGTGTGATACTGCTCTGGGTCAGAGATGCCCGTGTCTGGGTCTGTGGGACAGCACAGCAGGTCACTCTGGGGACTACCACACGTGAAAAAAACAGCCCCCCATTCCCTCTGGATGCCTGCAGGGCTGGGGCACCCCAAGGGGAGGGAGGGGAGGCAGCTTGGGTGCCTGCAGGATGGTTTGCAGGGACAGAGACACCAGCAACCTCTGCTTTGGGGCAGCTCCTGGGTAGTAATGGATACTGATGGCAATCCTGCCCTGCAGGCAGGCTCTGCCAGCCCAGGGGCACTCACCGGGCTTGTGGGGCTGGCAGGGCAGTAATGGACGCTGATGGCACTGTCCCACCCTGCCACCCAGGGGCACTCACCGGGCTTGTGGGGCTGGCAGGGCAGTAATGGACACTGATGGCACTGTCCCACCCTGCCACGCAGGGGCACTCACCGGGCTTGTGGGGCTGGCAGGGCAGTAATGGACACTGATGGCACTGTCCCACCCTGCCACCCAGGGGCACTCACCGGGCTTGTGGGGCTGGCAGGGCAGTAATGGATGCTGATGGCACTGTCCCACCCTGCCACCCAGGGGCACTCACCGGGCTTGTGGGGCTGGCAGGGCAGTAATGGATACTGATGGCACTGTCCCACCCTGCCACCCAGGGGCACTCACCGGGCTTGTGGGGCTGGCACGGGGAGTGCTTGCGGCGGCGAGCCCGGCGGTAGGTGCAGTCGTACTCCTCGCTGAGGGGTGAGCGGGGAACGCTGTCTGCCTGAGGAACGAGAGGGGCTGCTCATCAGGGAAAGGCTGCCATGTCCCATCCATGCGTGCCACGGGGGCTACAGCCCTTGCCATGTCCTCTTCACCACTGCCCCGTCCCACCCTGTGCCTCCGGGACTGGTGTCAGAGCTCAAGGGATTCCTGAAGCTGTCCTTGCTGCTCTGAGACTGAGGTAAGTGTGACAGGGCCATGGGGAGGGAAGGAGCACCCTGAGAAGTGGCAGGACATCCCAGAGTGGGACAGAACGTGGAGGGAATTTACCTTCTTGGCTATATTTCAGGTCTCTGAAACAAAATGTCAGGAAAGGACAAAGTTCAGTCACACACTATAAAAGTAGATGTGTCCTGCTGTGGGGGAATCAGAACTCCCTGGAGAATGTCCTGGGAAATGTGGCTGTTGCACCTCCTGACATCCTTGCTTCAGCCCTCCCACTTGCCAAATTTAAGCACTGACCACATTTGCCTCCTGGGGCAGCCCTGGCACTCACATCTCGCAGGTTGAAGGTGATCTCTAGATTGCTCCAGAAGTTGTCAGAGAAGGCTGGGTACATGTCCAAGACCTCCAGCAGGTCCTCACGCTGGATCTTGTGCAAGTCACAGTAGGTCAGGGCCCTCACGTCAGCATTGGACTTCCCTGGGCGGGCATAGAGGCTGATGGGCTCCCCAAAGATGTCATTCTTCCCTGTGCCAAGAGACAGCTCATTATGGACATGTGGGCACCCACTACTGCTCCAGCTATTCTGGCCCAGCACCCTTTATTTTGGAGCTTGTGGACAAGGGGATGCCCAGCAAACCCAACCCTGACTGTGTGTTGGGGATAACATTGTAAAAGCCACCAGTGATGGTGACACCAAGCCAGGGCAGAGGGTCATCAGTGATGGCTGGAGACTGCTGAGCCATGCCCTGCTCTCCTCATTCCTTTGCAGCTTCCCCCTGGCATCTCCCAGGGATCTTCCTTTCCCTATCCACTGGCATGGGGACCCATCAGATGCTGAGGAATAACCTTCCCTTCCCCGATATGTGGGGAAGTCCTTTATCCTCACCTTCCACCCTTCCTCTACTGCTCACCACCCTCTGCCCCTCGCCCGTCACCCCTCGCAGAAGAAAGGACTTTTTCACCTAAGATGGCCACCACAATGTCTTCCCTGAGGATCTCAATGGAGCCCCGGGAGATGAAGTAGAGGGTGGTGAGGACATCTCCGTAGTGCACCAGGGTGTCTCCGGGTGGGGCATGAGTGGTCTTGAACTTCATGGCCAGGGCGCGCAGGCAGCCCTTGCTGGCTCCCCGGAACGCTTTGCAGTTCTGCAGCAGCGTGCGGTTCAGGTGCAGGCAGATGTCGGCCTGCAGGCAGTCAGGGAAGCCCTTCAGCACCTGTGGAGAGCCAGGGAGAGATGCCATCATGCCACTGTCCCTGGGAGGGAGTGCTGTGACAGAGCTGAGAGAGGCTGTATGGCACTCAGCATGAAACAATGGGGCCAAACAGGGAGACCGTGTGCCCGGAAAGCCAAAGGTGGGGACATTTTCCCATCCCTGGAAGAGTTCAAGGCCAGACTGGATGGGGCTTGGAGCAACTTGGTCTAGTGGAAGATGTTCTTGCTCATAGCAGGGAGTGGGACAGTTTGAGCTTTGAGGTCCCTTCCAACTGTAAACCATTCTGTGATTCCGTGATTTCGATCATCTTTTGATCTTCCCTTGGTGGATCCCTGCCTGTCGCTGGCTTTTACTGCTTGTGGCTGGGGACAACAGCACTCCCAAGCAATAATTAAAAGTAACCAGCTCAATCTATTTATACCCACTGGTGGCATATCCCCTTTTTCTTCTTTACGCCCACTAATCTTGGATGAATGAGAGCAGAAACTGGCACAAAGAGCACAAAAACCTTAATTAAACAGCACCTGCCTGAATGCCAAGAAACAGCAGCACAGGACAGTTGTGTGCACTGACAGCTAAATATACCTGTGCAAATACCTCGTGTTGAACAAAAGCTGCATCTGAAGGTGACATCAAGGTAAAACTCACAATATGGAGAAAGCTGCTGCCACCAATGACTCACAGTGCCAAGGTGAAAACCACCTGGGTTTGGGTTTTTTTTGGAGAGCAGCATATGGCCCTGGGGTCCTCCTTGCTGTCCTCTTTGCTCACATCCCGCTGGTGGCCAAATCTGGAACAGCCATGCTGGGGCTGGTGAGCACGACCTGTTCCTGGCTTCAGCATGATCTCCCATGCTAGCAGAAGTGTTTCCCTACTGGGAAATCAGGGGTGGACGAATTGATCAGGCTGTGGGGTGATTGATGAGATCACGCTGTGTCTCTGCAGCAGCCAGCAGGAATTGGTGTGAGCAGCAGCATGGCTGAGCTGCAAGCTCAGCTCTCCCTGGGGATGTGTGACCTGGGTTTGTACTAAGCCAAGAGCACCTGTGCTTGGGTAGTGTGGCACTGCTTCTTGTTATTGCCACTGATGTCCAGCCCAGGTTGCCCCCTCCACCTGAAAGGTTTAACCCAAAGCTCTCCCAGCAGCAAACCCCCAGATGCTGCCCACTTGTTTCACGTGGCAGCAGCAACTTTAGAGGGAGATGCTGAATTCATACAAATCTGTGTCCTGATGCTGCTCAGGATCAAATCTTAAGGAAAAGAAGGAGCATTAGCAGGGACTGAGTGGGCTGATAACCTCCCCATGGCTAAGAGTCCAGGAATATGAAGCCTCATGTCTCTCCTTGCCTTATCCTTTCTCATTCCTCTGCCTTGCTGCTGGCTGGGCCATCGTGTCTGTGCACTGAATCCCAGGGCTGTGAGTGCAGTCCCCAGCCCAGAACACCTCGGCTGAGCCGCATCCTCATCCCCACGGAGCCCCGGCACTGTCGGCTCGGAGACACGGTGCCTCTCCAGCACAGCTCCGCCATTGATCCCCCTTTGCTAACAAACAGCTGCCTCTCTGGGCTCTAATTAAAATGGATCGAGGTTTATTTAAATGCCCTCCTTTCCCTGCTGCGAGAGCAGGATGCACTTTGCTTAGCAACCGGTGGTGTGGAGAGGAGCTGGATCGATACCTGCTCTGCTCCTGTGACACCAACAGACACCAGCCTGAAAGTGCTCAGTGCCAAGAGGGACTCTCAGCTCCCCACCAAACCTGCTCTCTGACCAAGACATGTGCTCATGATCCTGGAAAACCTCTGGGTAGATGTAAAGGAATGGGCAGAAAAAGGAGACAAGGAGAAAGGGGGATGCAGGAGGTGGAAATGCAGGAGGTGTAAGGATAAAGTCTGTCTCCAGCCTCCCAAGTCTCCTGCCTCCATCCTGATCAAAAGGATGGAAATGTTTGGGTGTACCCAGATCTAGACGCCGTGTTGTTTAGGACAAGGTGCTGTGAGGACACAGGGCCTGCCTGCCCGTACTCACCGCGTTCATGTCAATGCCGTTGGTGTAGGACCAGGCGTGCTGGAAATACTCCTCCAGGCGCTGGCGCAGGGGGTTGGGGATCTGGTGGAAGCGGATGAACTCCTTGACCCGCAGCATCTGCGTGTGGTAGCGTGCTGTGCCTGAGTAGAGGCGCTGGATGATGGCTGAGACGTTGCCGAAGATACTGGCGTACATCAGAGCTGAAACGAGAGGGCAGGGCTCAGAGGGACATGGCGAGGTGCGTGTCCAGCTACACGAGACCTGGAACCAGCAGATTCCCAAAACCCATATCTACCAGGACCTGAAAACATGTATTCCTATCACCCCATCCATTTGTCTGTGCGGAAGAGGCACAGGCAGAGGGAGATGCTCCAACCTCCGAAGCAGGGATGGGAACAGCGGCATGTGCGCGGGCACTCACAGCCAATGAGCATGACACAGATGGAGAAGATCTTCTCGGAGTTGGTGTTGGGCGAGACATTGCCAAAGCCCACGCTGGTGAGGCTGCTGAAGGTGAAGTAGAGGGCAGTGACGTATTTATCCTTGATGGATGGGCCAGAGGAGAGGTCGCTGTCGTTGTAGCGCTTGCCGATCTGGTCACCCAGGTTGTCCAGCCAGCCGATCTTGTGCTCCATGTAGGGCCTCTCCACGTTGCCGATGGCGTACCAGATGCAGGCCAGCCAGTGGGCGATGAGGGCGAAGGTGCACATGAGCAGGAAGAGCACGGCTGCTCCGTACTCCGAGTAGCGGTCCAGCTTCCGTGCCACCCGCACCAGGCGCAGCAGCCGGGCCGTCTTCAGGAGGCCAATGAGGGTGGTGGTCTGCAGGGGAGAGGTGAGACACCTCAGGGACCAGCAAAGGATAAATATGGCATGTTCCAAAGGCATGTTCCCAGCTGCGCTGTGCTTCCTTTGAAGGATAAAAATGCATTTCTAGAGTGTGAATCACCTTGTCCTGGAGGTGACCTCTGAACTGGGTCAGATGAGTCACAGCACAGGAAGGGCAGCTTGCCTCTGCTGATCATAAAGGCAAAAAGCTCTGGGATTAGAGGTGAGCAAGTGAGAAGAGCCAAGGCCAAGCCCGTGTTTCCATATGGGTCCTCGCCTTGCCAGACATTGCTCCCAAAAGTGCTGCCTTTCACTCCCAGATGTGGAGCCTCCAGGCAGTACAGTAACTACAGGGTTATCCCTCTGCCAACATTTGAGTTTGCCTGGCAATGCACCCCCAAATTCACCCTCACTGGAGTGTGGGGTCAGCCCTTAAACTGTGCCCCCAGCCTGCTCTGCTGGGTCAGCCTCAACAAGGGGAGTGGATCCACTCTGAGCACTTAGAATGGGGACTGCCTGACCCAGCTGCTTAAAAACCTGTAAAGACACCCTTCTCCACCCTGTGACCAACCACCTATCTCCCCAGGGATTTAGCCATCCACCACTTACATCAAACCGCCCACATCCCTTTCCTTCTTTCTCATACATCTCTCCCTGCCCATCCACACATCCCCTCCTGTCCCGATGGACCCTGCTCTTACCTCATCAGAGCCAGAGCGGAAGATGAGCAGGTCGAAGGGGATGGCAGCCACCATGTCGATGAGGAACCACCCCTTGAAGTAATGGATGGCGATCTTGCCGGGGTGGCTCACCACCTCGTCGTTGATGTTGACGTAGGTGGTGCGGAAGTTGATGACAATGTCCACGATGAACATGATGTCCACGATGAGGTCAATGATGTTGAGCGGGTCGCAGGAGTAGCTGCAGTCCCAGCGCTTCTCCTCCACCTGCTCCTCGTTGAGCAGGAAGGCGGCTGAGTAGGGGGTGAAGACGGCTGTGTAGATGACCAGCAGGAGGATGAGCCAGTCCCACACGGCCTTGAAGGGGCTGTAGTGCAGGATGGTCCATCGGTGGATGCGCGGCGCCTGCAGCTTGTACTCGGGAAGGACGTCGGCACCCAGGGACAGCACCTGCCAGGAGAGGGGTGTGAGGAGGATGCGAGGCCAGGAGAGAGGCTGGATAATGCCAGGAACCAGGCAAGGGACTTCCATGTACTGGTAGGGCATCAAGGAGCACACAATGGTTTCCTACAGCTTTTTCACCTTTGTTGGCTGCATCTGTGTTTGTCCAGTTCCCACTGTGGCTGACACCAAGGTCCTTGTCTCTGATGGTCTCAGCACCCTTGGGGCAGCTTCTTATCTGCTTTATGGCCATCTGACCCAGCAGAGAGGAAGGTGCCTGCTGCTGAGCCTCCTTCTGCCCTCAGCTCTGTGCCACCTGCTTGGGAGCTGCTGGGAGTCCCTGCTGCAGGGCTATGGGATGGGCAGCTTGGAGATGCCCTCACACGGCTGTGTCACCCGAGGGTGACAGCATGTTATGCATCCTGCAAGCCTTTCTTGGCCATAGCAAGAGTCTTCCTTCCCCTGGATGTCCTTCTGGCACACTTGTCCTCCAAGCAGAGGGACAGCTTGGGCCACCTGTGAGCATCCTCCCATGCTGTCACATGTCCCCACGGCTCGCTGCTTTCATGGGGACACTCCACAGCTCTGGAGAGTTCCCCACACGTCCAGGCCTGGCCCACCTCCCCCCCCAGGACCAATGCCAGCTCCTGGTGGCTCTAAAGCCACTGTGGGGACACAACACAAGACACTGGGTGTGGGAGGGGTGGGTCTGCCCTGCTTTGGCGGCTGAGGGGTGGTGGCATGAAGGGGCTTATTTGGAGCTGGAGGCAGCTGGATCTCCTTCCTGCCTCTGCTGCTCTGTTGTCCCCCAGTGTCCCTGTGGTGCTGGGACCAGTGCCAGTTGCAGAGGAGGGTGAGGGACACCTCAATTCTCTCTCCTGGCACTGAGCCCCCAGCTAAAAGGGAGCTTTTTTGCTGGGCTGCAAAGGAGAGGACAGAGGAAAGAGAAGAGAGGAGAAAGGAGGATCCATATATCCCAAGGCAACAGTGATGAGCAGTGATCCTGTCAGTGATCCTGCCCTGACAGGAAGGATCAAGGTTTCTTGTTCAAGGGTCTCCCAAGGGCTCCTGATGCTGCCATCCAAAGCAGATCCACCCCTGTACCCCCATCCCACAACAAGCCCCAGCCGCTCCCACATCCCAGAGCCCCAGCGCACTGGAGACTCCCGGTGTGCCCCAGCCGTGTCCCCTGCTCCTACCTGCCTGCAGCTGGCCCTACGGCCCAGGCGGCAGCTGCCCCTCGAGCTCCGGGTGTCCACCATGGGCGCCCCCAGCCCCCCGGGCCCGGGCAGCGTCCGGCAGGGCGGGCGCAGCGCTGGGGCCGGGGCATTGCCCACGCAGGCTCGCAGGCACTCGGCCAGGCGGGTGGGAGGCATGGGCACGAAGGGCACCCGGGAGCCCGGCCCGCGCTAATCAAAGGCGATCGATGGGGATCGGCCCCGTGGGGACGGCAGCGCCAATGGAGCAGCGGGAGCCGCCGACGTCGGTGGGGGGCCGAGAGGGGAGGGATTGGAAAAAGTGACCCAAGAGCAATCGTTGTGGGGGGAATGAGGCACGGCTGGGCTTGGGGACCGGCTCCTGCGGGGATGGTGGGGAAGGGAACGAGGCAACGCTGATAAAATGATTGATCCCAAAACTAGGATGCACCTGGAAGAGCTGGGATGGGCTCCTTCAGCTTGTGTCTGGGAAAACCAGCAGTGCTCCCAGCCTCAGCAGCTGAATGCTTGTTCTGCCTGACTGGAGGCATCTCTGAATTCAGGACACCAAATACTGTTCCCTATGCTGGGGCACCTGGCCTGCCCCCCATCCCTGGCACCTAGCTCTTGTGGCAGGAGCAAGAACAGGCTAAGCACTCTTGCTTTCCAGGCAGGAATGAATAAAAAACCACAGTCCCAAAGATCTGAGGCAGAAAAGGGTAAAGAAACAACCCCCAGAAGAGCATCCAGACCAACACAGAGCTAGGGAGCAGCTGCAGCCTTGTTCCTCTGCCCCTAAGGGATGGGAAAGTCACCCTTGGCTGTCCTGGGTGGCCCTGGGAGTCTGAAGGTGGCAGTGCCAGTGTTCTCCTGGGTGCCCCTTCCCTTTGTCCCCTTCCTCCTGGTGGGGTGCTGGGTGCTGGCAGTGAGTGAGGGAGTGCAGAAGGGAGAAGGAGGAGGAGGAGGAGGGAGCAGGGTGTGTGTGAGCTGTAGGTGACAGGGGGGGAGGCTCCTGTGGCCCTGGCTAACCCAGGCCATTGCTCATGCCCCCTGGTGCCCCAGCACCCATCACCTTCCCACTGTCCCCCAGTGTCCCTTGCCTGGTGCTGGGGATAAGGGGACTGACCTGAGGTGGGGGCCACTCCAGAATCACCAGCAGAGCCTCAAACACGAGTGGCTGGGCAGGATCAGGCCCGTGGTGCTGGCTGCAGGCTGGCAGTGACCCAGTGTCGCTCCCAGCACCTCTCCTGGCACAGCTCAGCCCCCCATCCCTGTCCCCAGCACCCTCCTGCCCAGATGGGGGGACTGGGACACATTCCACATTCAGACAGGATGGATCCCAGCCTGCTGACACCGAGCCCACAGCATCCCCACGTGCCTCCAGCTGTGCTCCAGAGCCCTGTGAGGCTGTGGGGCCTCCATTGCTCCGGTGGGCTGCCCTCTGTGCCAGCTGAGTGCAGGGCCAGACCATCCCAAAGAGCCCGGCTCCGCTCCCTGCCCACCCGCGGGTATTTTTAGTTGGCGTCTCGCCGCTGTCTCTGCCTCACCATGAATTATTTAACAGCCAGGAGCAGGGAGCTGTGGCTTGGCCAGGAGCTGTGGGGGACACTGGGGTGAGGACAGGCAGGGGCAGATGCAGCAGGAAGGACAGGTCCATCCTGTCCCGTGCCACCACATCCCATCCCACCTGGAGACTGAAAGTGAAGATTGACCTCAGTGGGTGCTGCGCTGCAGGGCCCTGCAGCCACCAGCTCTGACCCCATCACTCCACAAGCAGGCACTGACCCCACAGTGAGTGGCCAGCACCGCTGTGACAGCCACCCCAGTGTGACCATTCGTTCCTGGTGTGCTCCTTGTGACGGGGACCGGGGCATGGAGGGTCCTCACTGTCCCTCTGGGCAGCTCAGGGGCCAGTGCTGGGTCACTGCAGCCACTCCCAGATTAGAGGGACTAATGAAGGGGACAAGCCAGGGGGAAAACAAGCCTAAGAACTGTTCCATGATGTGTGAAGTGGGGAGCCCATGCCCTGTGCATGGAGGCTGTGAAGTTAAAGATTTGCTGGCACCGAGACAGAAGGAGAATCCCGCATAGCACCCCACTCTGATGGAGCAAACTCCCAAGCCTGGAGGCTTTTCTGGGGTCAGATGGCTGCGTTTTCATTAAGTTTGCCCTAGGCTGCTGCTGGCAGCAATGGGAGGTGCCCTTAGATGTATTTTGTACATTGAGGCTCCCCAGTGCCTCAGTTTCCCCACGGCTAGAAGAGCTCCTAACCCGGGACTGTGGGATACACCAGCACCTTTCACGCACACTGACATCCCCGTGGGATGCACTATGCCATGCGTGTCCCTCTGGGTGACAGCGACAGTGCAGTGCCACCTGCTGTCTCCCGGGGGATCCTGTGGCCCTCGGTGTGCTGACACCAGGCCGGGTCCTTGGCTGGGCACCTCGGGGCCAGCGGTGCCCCAGGGGCTCCATTCCCAGAGCCGGGGGGCAGTGACAGCGGCCAGAGCCCCCCACAAAAGAAGCCACATGCACACACAAACAGGCAAACACGTGTCCCCTTCAAGGCCAGCAGCACGAGCAGTTCATGCTGGTGTTTCCCCAGCCACAAATTGCCAGAAATACTCATTTAGGGGACTAAAATGAGAATTCCAGCCATTCAGAGGAAGGCATAACCAAGCACAGGGATACTGGCATTTCCTCTCCTCCCAAAGCCACCGGAGTGTTGTGACTGTCCCCCAGCAGCAACATCAGCACCCCATTGTCACAGACGTGTTTTCTGGAAAATCCTTTTGTTAGGATTTTTCTCCTGAGAAGCTGAGAGGCCTCAGAAATTAAATGTAAACAATAATTATCTGATTACTTGGGATGTGGTTTGGAGGTTGCTTACCAACAGGTGCATCTTTGATTGGTCTCATGGGAATTGTTTCTACTTGGTGACCAATCACAGGTCCTGCTGTGTCGGGACTCTGGTCAGTCACAAGATTTTATTATTCATTCCATTCCTTTCTTTGCTAGCCTTCTGATGCCTCCTTTCTCTTTCTTTAGTATAGTTTCAATATATCATTTTCTTTTAATGTAATAAAATAATAAATATAATAAATATTTATTTATATAAAAATATATAATAAATATATTATATATATTTATATAAATAAATATATTTAAAATTATATTTTATATATTTATATGAATAAATATATTTATATGAATAAATATATTTAAATTTATATAATATATATTTATATAAATAAATATATTTAAATATATATAATATATAAATATATATAATATAAATATTCATAAAATAATAAATCAGCCTTCTGAAACATGGAGTCAAGATTCTCATCTCTCCTGGGGACCCACAAACACCACCACCACACCCCACCACTGCCTTGTGTGTGACCCCATACCTGTGTGACCTTCTCGGTGACGTTCTGGGTGCGCTCCATCACCTTGTGGGGAGCAATTATCTCGATCTCTGTGGTGGAGCCTGAGCGGTGCTTCTCCAGGTTGAACTCCACGAAGTTGAGCGTGAACTGGGGGATCTGGCTGATGGTCCTGTACTTCATGAGGTCCGAGTCCGACGTGGAGTTCGGGGGGTTGGGTTTGACGTGGGAAGCCTCTGGAAGAGGATGGAGAGGAGCACTGAGAAGGGCAGTGAGAGCAGGAACAGATCCCCAGAGCCCTGACCTCGTGTAGGACCTCCAGGAGGCTGGGGACCACCACAAGGTGCCACCAAAAGGTGCCAAAATCTGCTTGGCCATAAAGGCTTGACTTCTTCAGGCTGGCTCAGATGTGGGATGCTCAGCCTGGGATGCCTGAGAGAGGGCTGTTTTTCCCACACATCACCCATCTTTTCACCATTAAACCTCCTGCAGGAGGCTCAGAGCAGCTGCCAAAACACAGAGACACTCAAGCGTCCTTTGCTACCCTTGATGACTGTAGTGGGTTGGGGACCAACCCACTGAGATTCACCAGGGAGAAATGCCAAAACTGGCATGAAAACAGACAGGAGGAGGTCATTCTCCCCCACCCTTTGCCTGACAAACATAGCTCCTGAGCTGCTGTGCTGGTTTTTGGCCAAACTGAACCAGGAGTCGGATGTATCCTCCACCCCCAGCTCCAGGCAGGGAGGTCAGAGCTTTCTCTGGAAGAAGAGCTGTAGTGGGTCCTGATATTTCTCCCTGGGGCCCTGCCTCTGGGCCACCCCAGGGCAGGACGAGGGAGGAAGCTGTGTAGGTGGTCATTTCATGGTCAGGCTTGTGGCAGCATGTTGTCAGGAGTGGGAGCCTGTACCCAGAGCCAGAGCTCCAGGAAGGTCCCCAGGCTCTGTGCTCAGCGTGTACCAACCTTTCCAAATCCTACAGGCAGGGGCAGGGTTGTATTTTCAATTCTTATCCCTTCTAACCCTTGCACTCTGACATTGTCCCAAGTGGCGGTGTGGGAAAGAGGTGTCTGAAGACATTTGTGAAGGTGCTCAGTTAGCACCAGCCCTGCTGCTGCCACCCTTCTCCCTTCCCTCCCTCTACATCGTGTCTCCTCCTGAGGGTCTGTAACCTGCGACTATTGGAGGTTCATGAACCCCCAGCCCACTTTTACAGCCAGATTCCACAGATCGATCTCTCTCATCCCCAGCTGAGAGCCTTCTCTTTCTAGACCTCCATTCTAATTTGTCCTCATCACTCTCATGAGAACCAGAGGTCTGGACATGGATAGCACGATGAAGGGTCATTCCCTCCAGCCCTTCAGAGTGGCCTGGCCAGTGTCTCACCCACTTCCAACACATGGACACAGCTCACACTGCACATGCCTGCAGAGCCCTTCCCTCCCTCCAGGGAAGGTGGGATGGCATCGGGACGCCCCTTGTGTGGGGCAGCCAAATGCAACCTCATGCGGTCTCACACCTCACACACAAACCATGGATGGCTCTACCTACAGAGCAGGACCTGCCTGTGCAGGGAATCACATGGAGACCAGTGGGTTTTGGGGAGAAGACCCAGGTAATCTCCCCTTTGCAGAGGGAAAAAGAGACCGAGACCTCCCCCCCGAGATGTGCTGGGGCCATGGCCAGAGCCCTGGCTCCCGCAGTAGAACCGACGGCTCCGGGGTTTTCCCTACCTGAGTTTGCCCTCCTTTCCCTGAATTTTCTCTGGAACTCAGACCTCGCAGCCTCAAAGTTGTCCAAGGAGGAGACCCTGCGGAGGCTGTGGAAGCTGCCCCCAGGGCGAGACCGAAAGAAACCCCATGCGGGGTGTGGGCCCAGCACGGGAGGCTCTTGTTTCGGGGACGAGTGTTGTAGGGTGGGGTCGGCCTCCAGGCTTGGCCTCCGCTCCTTTTCCAGGAGGGATTCGGTCTCTGACTGCATACAGTTTTCCTTGGGCGATGTCTTCAAGTCCCTCAAAATCAGGGAGTCACCACCAGGCTTTAAGACAGCCAGGAGAAAGCGTTGTATTAGAAGGAGTCCCCGCGTGCTGTGGGGCAAGGTGAGGGAGCCGGGGTGGGTAAGAGGAGAGGCAGAGGGCTGGGAAGCACTGCAGTTCCTGAGGTCATCTCCAGCCTGGACCAGGACCTGCTTTGGAGTGGGGCCACCGAGTCCCTGGGGACTTGGCAGCTCCCAGCTCCCGCCGGAGGCTGGGCGGCCGCGGGGAGGTTTGCGAGGCGATGCTGCACAGGTGGAAGCAGGTGAGAGCAAGAGAAGAGGAGGCCTAGGGACAGGCTTGCCTGCAGTCCCTGCAGTGCCATGCGTTTCTCTGAGATGGCCCCGTGTCCCACCACTGGGGCTGCCCTTCCCTCCCCTGCTGCAAGAGCTCAGGCCACCACCGAGGGTCAGTGCCCAGGCCCTGTGCTGGTGTTTATGGGGGAGGATGTGCTCTGCACCAGGAAGCACTGGAGGAGCTGCTGGGTTTGCAAATTTGGCCATATTGCTCCTCCTTCTCCTATAGCCACTGTAAAACATTGCTAAACCTTTTTCTCTGGAGACCTGAAGAGTTTCCAGATTTTAATTTCTGCAATGGGGTGTGCAAAGCAACCCCGTTCTGGAGTAGAAACCCATGAGAATGTGTGCCTCCAGTAATACCCACAGGAGGAACTGTGGCACTCCTCACCATCCCTAAGGCCCTTTAGGGCAGGTTTTAGGATGGGGTGCCTGGAGAGGCTGACTGCTGGCTGGCCCTGCATCTCTGGGCTGTGGCCATTTGACCAAGCTCCAGTGAGATGATGCAGCATCAGGTTGTCCTCAATGCACATTTCCCATTCCACACTGCATTCCATTTCCATTCCACGCTGCAGTGCCCCATGCAGCTCCAGCCTCGGGGTACCCAGAGCTTTTTAGCAATGCTGGTGCCTATGGGAATGATGCACCCAAAGCCTCTGATAACCCTATGCATATCTTCAACCTACCATAAGCACAACCTCTGAGAAGACAGGCACCTTCCATCTCATTATATCTATGAGCTGGGGAAGCAGATTTATCCAGGCTGCCTGGATACACCCAGCACAGCCAGACCCTGGCACATGGGGATGCCTTAGCAGAGCAAAAGCCTCCTGCTCACAGCCTTGGGCTGCAGCATTTCAGAAAACAGCAGCTATTTGACTGGAGCTACCCTGAGCACTGTCAGGAAGCCACCAAGAACAGCAATCTCTAAACAGCTTTTCAAGGTTGGTGACAGCATCACCTTCCATCATGGGAAGAACAATCTTTGCTGGAGGGCTGAGAAGCTGGACCTGCCTGTGCTGCCTGCTCCCTGCCAGGAAATCATGGGGAAATGAGCCTGCCAGTCCTTGCTCAGAGCACACCACGCTCCTGCAGCCACCAGCACTGCCCTCCTTGAGGTGGGGACAGCTCCCTGGAGCTCCACCATCCTGGACAACTCTGAGTATGGAGGCAGAGCTTCCTCCCAGCTTTGGCACATCTCCCACTCCCCCCTCAAGCCACGGGATGTGCAGAGCAGCAGGGAGGAGCTGCAGCCCACACGGCCAAGCCCAGCAGGGCCAGCACTGCCCCCGTGCCCTGCCCTGCCACAGGAGATGGCCCAAACCACAGCAGCCAAGGGGGACTGGGATGGGGACAGCGAGGAGGAGCGCTGGGACCTGGCCTGAGGCGTGGGCTGGTATCAGACAAAGGCTACGGTTACCTTTCCATAGTCAATGGCTACTCCATCAAACTCACTGGTGGGCAGAGATTTCCGCTGGATTTTGAGGCGCCGCAGGGACGGGAGACTAAACTTCAAACTCCTACCTTCACCTTGTTAAAAAGAAAAACAAAACACAAGAGAGAAAGATGTGACCTAGCTGCATGTGATGGCTGGAGTGAGGCGGGACAGGGGAGAGGCTACGGAGAGTTTTGGGTGGCTCTGGGGGATGCACATGCTGTGTGTGGCCTTTCCTCCTCCAAAGCACTGGATATTCCCATGCCACCACAGTGCCACGTGCTCAAGGCAGACCCTGACCTGGCAGCAAGCTCCTCTGAGCTGGAGAAGAGTTCCCTATAACTGTGGATGTGAGATGGGAAAGGTGCAGAGCATCCCTAAGCCAATTAAAGAGGTTAAAGCCAATTAAGGGATTTGGTCCCGGAGGAAATAGAGCCTCTAAATCTCCTTGGTGGAACTTTAGGGAAAAAACCCCCCACACAATAGAGATGGTAATTTAGAAAGGCATAGAAAGAAAAGTAGTTCTAACAATTTTGTTCCTGGATTTGTTTTGAATTTTCAGTGAGGGAATTTGGACCACAAAAACAGGATCCCTTTCTGGCATCACAGGGGACCAGGAGACCACCTCACAGGGGACTGGGGCTGGGACAAGGGCAGCCAGGGCTGCTAGGAGCTGTGAGAGAGGTGCAGGAGAGAAAGAGCCCAGATCTGGAGAGGGCCCAATGCCCCTGGTTGTGACACTCAATGCAAAGTCACTTGTCCTCTTCTAGAGGAGACCATGGTCACTTGCTACTGCAGAGTTTGTGTGAGCAGCTGGGCTCACACCCTCAGGGCCTGGGTCAGCCCTGAAGCTCATCCAGCAGCACCAACTCTGCTCCCTAACTGCACAAAAGGTGGCCTAAATCCTGGGGCACGTGGGATGTGGCATGACCTCCACAAAGACATTGTCCCCTGGGAAACAGCAGCACGTTGAGGAGCTCTTTGGTTTTGGCAAGAATAGCTTCCCTCATCTGGCCCCAAAACATCACTGAGCTGCTTGGGCAGGGTCCCAGCCTGCCCAGAAATGCCTCTGCCCATGGGGTACCACACTGGCTCCCTCTGCTCACCCCATCCCCTCTGCCTAGAGCAGCTTTTCAGCTGGAAGAAGCAAAGCATCCAACATTCCCTGCACACCAGTGAGCTGGAGACCAGCAATGCAGCCCCCTGTGGCTATGCAATGAAAGACTGAGTCAGAAAACCTGAGCACAAGAGCCTGATCTGGATGGGCACCAGCAGCTCTGGCCTTTCCACACCCCCTGTCACTGGAGTGGGAAACCCAAGAAACACAACATCCCTTGGGATGCTCAACACAACATCCAACATGCAGGGAAGTGACAGGGGCTCTTGATTTGGGTGCCTCCTGCCATGTCTTTGGGTGGGATGGGATATGGCTGCATCCTGTGTTGAGACATTCTGAGAGCTGGTGGGGCTGCAAAGCAACGCTGGTGCTGGGATTTAGGATTTCCTCAGCAGGTCATGCATAGAGGGCAGCTGGTACTAAAGCAATCCATCAAAACCATGAATCTCATCACTTCACAGGCCTACAAACACATTCATCTGTCCATTCACACTCACACATCCATGAACCCCCTGTATGCATGCCTGCCCTGAGCACACACAAACCCACACAAAACTCTGCTGGTGCCATACACAGACACCTGAATGCTCCAGGATATAGATATGGACCGAGCAGGAATGCACTGGGACTCACACAAACCCCAGCTCAATGGCCACGTGTCCCCATGGCTCCCTGATGTGGCCCTGGCTCTGGTCCTGCTGTGCCAACCCATGTGCCAAGGGGGGACAGACCCACGTTGCTCCCACAGCTTTATTTTGAGGCCTGCCCAAAGCCTCCCAACAGCACCTGTAGGGAATGTCATCATGGAGGCAGAGCTGGGGTTATTTCCTGACTCAAGGAGAGGTGACCAGCACTGAGGGCTGTATGCAAGGAGGAGACTTAGAAGTCACATCTGCCTCCCTGAATATCCACATCCCCTCTAGAGCCTCACCACAGCTTCCCCTTTGATCCAGTCTTCCCAAAAAAGGGAATTTGAGTTTTCCACTGTCTCCAAAACCCTAGGATGAGCCTAGGAGAGCGGGGAATAGCCTGAAGCTGGGGCAGGCTGAGCTGTTGCAGTGCAGCCATCCTTGTGCCATTGGCCTGCAGTGACACCCCCAGAGCACAGCCATGCTCTTGGTGACCCCAAATGTCCTCTGTGACCCCGCACGCAGGTCCTGCCCCACAGCAGCACCTCCAGCCCAAGCCAGTGTTAAATATGGAAAAGATCCAGCAATGCAGGGGGGTTCACAGAGGGGAGACTCCACAGCTCCACTTCCAGCGAGACCCCTTCTCAAAAATGCTCCATCCCATGCAGAACAGGCTGGGCAGTCCCCAGGCCTGTTCCCCAGGCCTCTGGGATTTTGGGAAGCGTCTGCAGACAGCTGTGAGGGCAAGGGGAGCCCAGCTGGCTCAAACAGCCCTTCCCCATCCAGCTGGGGCTTGGCTGGGCCAGTCCCTGAGCAGGCAGAGCTGCGGCTGTGCAAAAACCACAAACCTCTTCCCATGCAGGATCCTGCCCAGACACTGAGGCATCCTTGAGTCCCCCCGTGCTCCCCAGCAAGCCCCGGGACGAGGATGCGGTGCTGCCCTCCCGGCCCCGCCGCCCCCGGGCACGCACCTTTGTTCCAGCTGTGCGACAGCCGCTGGTGCAGGCTCCGCCCGGTGCTCTTGGCGATCAGCTGGGCCAGGTCCTCGAAGTTGAGGATGAACATGATGACGACGCCTTCCTCGTTCTTCACAGGCACCACATCCACCAGGCAGCGGAAACACGATGCTGCCGAGCAGAGATAGGCTCAGGGGGGGCTGCTCAGGAAACCCTGACCTGCCCCTCCCCTCCAGCACCAAATATTTTTGGCAGAAAAGTGGGGGTTTTGAGCACTTTGATGGGCGTAATCCCTGCTGATGGGTAGTGGAGGGCATGGAACATGATCTGAGCCCTGGGAAAGGGCCATATCCCTGAAGCATCCCAATCACACTGATCACATCTCTTTTTTCTGTCCCAGACAGTCATTTATATTAATGTACTTGAGAGCAGCAATTAAAGAGTGAGTAATTAAGAACTCAGGAAGTCCCAGGTAGTGGTTTAACCTCATTAAGCATCCTGCTTGTAATCACGCTGCAGTTAATTGCCCTGCAATCACCAGGCAGTTTTTGGGGACGGGATGCAGGCAATGGGGGTGAGCCCACGTGGGCAGCAGGACCAGGTGGGATCAGTCCCCAAGGACATTCCCTAAAGGCCTGGAGTGGCCAGGCATGGCCTTGTCTTGTCCTGCCACGGGGAAACTGAGGCATAAAGGGGGCACAAGGACTGGCTCAGTGTCCTGGGAGTGCTGTGAGGAGCATCCCAAATATGTCCATAGGGATTTTCCTGTTGGATGTCAGCTCGACCCTGTGGCTCTCCTTGTGCAGCAGCCAGGCACCAGTCTGCAATTAGAGGCAACTGAAAACACCTGCAGGTCCTTTCCAAAGCACCAAGCGAAGGACACGGGTGGTTTCCCACCTCCTTTGCCAGCTTTATTCCCACCAAATCCTCCAAAAACCTACAATCACTGAGTCCCTCCCTTGAGCTGTGTGCTGTTGCTTTGGCAGCGATGGGAGCAAGACCCCTGAGCCACAGAGCCGCTGCCAGTGACACCCCCAGAGCACAGCCATGCTCTTGGTGACCCCAAATGTCCCCGGTGACCCCGCACACGGGTCCTGCCCCACAGCAGCACCTCCAGCCCAAGCCAGTGTTAAATATGGAAAAGATCCAGCAATGCAGAGGGGTTCACAGAGGGGAGACTCCACAGCTCCACTTCCAGCGAGACCCCTTCTCAAAAATGCTCCATCCCATGGAGCAGAGCAGGCTGGGCAGTCCCCAGCCCTGTTCCCCAGGCCTCTGGGATTTCGGGAAGCGTATGTAAAACCCCCCCAGGCTCCTCTCCCAAAACTCCTAGAGATGATGGAGCAGCCAGGTACCGCTGCAGCCGACAGGGAGCCAAGCCACGTCCCTGCCCGGATCGCGGATCCCGCCTTTCCCCAGGGATTAGCGGCCGGGCAGGGATGCGGAGCCGGCGCTCCCGCTCCGGCCGTGGCCGCGCTCCAGCCGGGAGGGGCATGCCGGCCTTCCTGCGTATAATTTTAAGGAGCTCAGGGCCTCCCGTAATCAGGAGCAGATGGCCGGCATCGGGCAACTTCAAAATCTGCCGTGACGTCAGGGATGTGCACATACACGGACACACACAGGCACAAGAACGGGAAAGAAACGGACACGGTGAAACCTGCTCAAAGACCCCGGCAGCTGTGATTTGTTCGTTTGTTCTTTCTTTCTCTCTCTCTCTCTTTCTCCACTGCTCACCAAAGGGAGAGGAAATCCACTTAAATGTGTGAGCTGGGGAGGAGAGAGTGGATTTTTGGCAGTAAAGCTGTTTGGGGGACTGCATGGCATGTGACAGGTTACCTCCGTGTGGAGCAGGAAGAAGAGAGCTCCTTTCCCTCCCTTTACCAGGATTTTTAGGGCTCTTTAGATGAAGAGATGCCCTGTAAGAGCTGCTGAGTGAGTGAGGTGGCACGTGCCCAGTGGGGTGACACGGTGCCATCCCCAGGATGCCACAGCTCTGCCAGTGTCGATGCTGGCACTGGTGTGTGCAGGGGACCCCACTCAGGGATGCTTTCTCCTTTGGTGTGTTAGAAAATGAGGAGGTTTTTATTCCCCCCAGGGGTGGTTTTGAAGTATCACTGATTTCCTGGAACCCACAAGGTTCACTGGAATGGGCAGCCATCAACCCCATGCTTCCCCCTAGACTGGGAATCTATGATCGTGGTGATCAGGCAGCCCAACCCGGCTCAGGTGCTCTGCCCTCCTGCATTCCTTCACTGCCTCAGGTGTCCTTCCTAAGTTGCTCCGTGGCAGTGGGAGGGGATGGGCTCTGAGCTGTTCTCAGGGGGGCTGGGTCCTGGCAGGTCCTGTGTGGCACAGGAAAGGGTTAATCCCATGGCCAGTGCTGAACAGCTGAAAACTGGGCCCAGTTACATCCAGTTGGAGGGATATAAGGAGCAGCTGGGAGGTGGCTGGGGGTGGGTTTGGGTGGCAGCTGGTGCCTGGTTTGATCCTGCAAATCTGGGAGGTGCTGAGCTTGAGCAGCCCTGGCCAATGTCACTGTGAGCCCCTCACTGATCCCTTCTTAAATTAAATAAAATAGACTATTTCTGTTGGGAGGGGACTACAGCAATAATCTAGTCTAACTGCCTGGCCAATTCAGGCTTGGCCAAAAGTTAATCCCCCTCCAAAACCAGGGCAATCACCCCAAAAGTGGCCCCAACAGGCACAGCCCTGCTCAAACCCACATCTCACAGCACGGAGGTGTCAAGGGAATGAGGGAGTATCAGGGTCAGGGATGGGAGCAGCACATTCCCTTAGGCCTGGCCCAAAGACAGGGCATTCCCCCAGGATCTGGGCTCTGTGCAGCTGTGATTTGGGGCACCCCCAGCCCTGTGGAGAGGCTGCAGCTGGGAGAGCTGTGGCACTCTCTGCCCTGACTCAGTTTCCCTGTGGTGAGCCAGCCTGGGCTCTGCTGAAGGCTGAGCCTCCTCATCCTTCTTCCCAAACACCAGGCCCTGCTGTAGCACCAGGGGCTGAGCCAGCGCCAGGAGGCACCTCAGGCCTGCCCTCAAAAACCAGGCCCTGCTTAGCACCAGGGCCTGAGCCAGCCCCAGGAGGCACCTCAGGCCTGCCCTCAAAAACCAGGCCCTGCTTAGCACCAGGGGCTGAGCCAGCCTCAGGAGGCACCTCAGGCCTGCCCTCAAAAACCAGGCCCTGCTGTAGCACCAGGGCCTGAGCCAGCCCCAGGAGGCACCTTAAGCCTGCCCTTGCTCCTCAATCCACTGTCCCCATCCATCTCCCCTTCAGCTGTTCAGCTAATCTGTCTCCATCCATCTAATTTTATCCAGCCACCAAACGATCTCTTGGAGGAGCCCTGGGGGGATTCACAACCTGCCTGTGCTCTGTGGCCACCAGCATGAGGGTGCCTGTGCCCATCTGGGGTGAAACCCAGCCTGGGGGCTGCAGACAGGGCTTGGCAGGTGGGGTAGGACATGGATGCTGGTTTGGAGGGTTCCACAGCCAACGTGGTGGGCTTGTATTCCCCAAATTTCTGTCAGTGTCTTCTGAAATAACCCAAATAACCCCAAAAACCCCAATACCTAAAAGTCCCCCAAATAACCCCAAACAAATCCAAATAACTCCCCAAAAAACAAAAAAACACCCCAAATTAAACCCAAAAAACCCCAACTGATTTGAAGTACACCTAAAAAAACCCCCATATACACCAACATAAACCCCATGAACCCCAAATAATTCCAAATAAGCCCAAATAAGCCTGGGGGCTGCAGACAGGGCTTGGCAGGTGGGGTAGGACATGGATGCTGGTTTGGAGGGTTCCACAGCCAACGTGGTGGGCTTGTATTCCCTAAATTTCTGGTTTGATCTTCCAGCACCCAGGTCCCCCAAGCTGAGTGAGTGAGTGCCTGGAGGTTTGTGCTTTCTGACCCACCGTGTCTTCTGACCTTGATAAAAGCCAACACTTAATAACATTAAAAATGTCATTGCTGGGGGCCCTCCCTCCCTGTCCCCTTATCCCCTGCAGGCAGCAGTGGTTAATGCATTTGTCATCAGCATTGTCATCAGTATCATCAGTATTAAACTAATCAACAGGACACGGGGGTTTCCAGAGCCGGACACAAGCCAGCATTGTTATGAATATTAAAAAAGAGAGCTATTAATCTGTGCCTGGAGCTCTTCCCCAGGCCAGGAGATTTAATCTGCAGGGTCTCATGGCAGAGTGGCTAAAGCTATAGTGGGATTATATAAAGGAGCAGAGGAGAGGGGCTGGGAAGGGCACGGAGGGGACGGGAATGGGAGCAGAGCTGTGCTCTGGGGCCAGAGAGGAGCCTGGAGGACCAAGCTGTGCTCCCATCCTGGGATAAATCCCTGTCAGGGCTGCTTGGAACTTCAAAGGGAAGTGCAGATTGCTGGGAGGCCCTAAAGCAAATCCCTGAGGTGGGGATGGAAAAAAATGGAGAGAGAGTCTGAGCTAGTGGGAGATTGGTCACTCCTGGGAGCCGGGGTGAGCCCCTGCAGGTCTGCATCCCCTGCACAGAGAGGGAATGGGCAACACTCAGGGTCTGCCCTGGCCCCTCTCCCCACACCCAGACAGGGCATCAGGAGACTGAAACCTGCCAGGACACCACGACAGCAAAAATGACCTTATTAAGTAACATCAGCGGGACAGAGGTTCCCCTGTGCAGGGATTTGTGTGCTCACAGGCCTTGCTGGCTGGAAGCAGCAGCGGGGAAGGAAAATCAGGAGTGTCAGCTGGCTGAGGATACCCACCAAATGTTGCCACTAGAAAGATCCAAGCCTAGCAGGGTGATTTTGGGTGCTGGTGGAAGGATGCTCTGGTCCCCAGGAGCCAAAAGGGGTCCTGGATCAATCCAGTGGGTTGGCAAAATGCATCTTAACTCTGCCAGGGCAGGGATCTCAGGAAAAAGGAAAGAAAAAAGAAATCCTGCTCCAGGCAGCATTCTTGGAGGTGCTGGGGATGATCTGGGCCTGTCCTTTTGTTCATAGGACATCAGGTCCAAGCAAAAAGCATTTGTGGGGATGAAAAATGTCTCTTCCAGTTCTCTGCCTGGTCACACTGGCCCTGGGGCACAGCCAGGGCAATGGGGGTGCCTGGAGCTGCAGCACAGCCGTGCCAAGGATGGCAGCATTGGCTCTGCAGTGCAGGATCTCTGGGACCAGAGCTTCTGCCATTGTGAGGAGGGATGTTTATAAGTTCCCATCTGGAGCTGGGCTCTGCTGTCCATCCCTTTCCCGAGGTCACAGACTGACCCTTAAAGCAAACAGCAAGCAGCAAACAGCCCTAGCTTGGCATAAACCCCATGGGTTTGTACAGGCCAAGAGCTCAACTTGGGGTTGGGGTTTGGCAGCTGGCTGTGCCTTCCTACTCCTCCAACACCCAAGAAGTCCCCTTAGTGCTGCCTTGACCCCACCATGGGGCAGCAGCAGAGGCTCCCTGGGGCTGCCAGCACCCTGACAGTGCCAGGATGCAGCAGCTGCTGGTGGGATTTGCCCTCCTTCTCCCAGTGCACCCGTTGGGCACGTCAGATGTTGCTGTTTACAAAGCTGCATGGAGAAACCCTGCTTGGATCCATCCCCCTGCCTCAGCCAGGCCTCCTGGCAGCAGCAGCTGCTGGAGAGGGGCAGTGCCAGGGATGTGCCCTGGGCTGGGGACAGAGGCGACGTGTCCCATGAGTGCCCCTGCTCCCTTTGGGTGTGGTGGCACTTCCCAAGCCATGCCTGCCTGGCTGTGTGCTCAGGCCCCCATTGCTGTTGGGGGGATATGCTGAGAGGCACAAGGCACCCCAATCACTCTCTGACCCTCCCAGGGGAAAACCCTGGCCTCTGCACCAGTGTTATGAGTTTGCTGGCCTGATCCCAGTCCCTAATCCCACTTCCATGGGGACTGACACGAACTGCTGCTGGAGGGGACAAGCTGTGGGCTCTGCCCAGCAAAGGACAGGGTGGAGGGGCTGGGGCTGCCCCACCAGCTGCTCCAGCTGTCACAGCCACATCTCCCCTTTCATATTCATCAGCATCACATTCACGCAGATTAAGCAGAGCGAGTGCCACCAGCTGCTGCTGCTCAGGCCGTGCTGGCACCATGGCACTCAGCACCTGTGGCCACCTCCTGCTCTGGGGACCCCGTGAGCCCTGGCCAGTGGCTTCACTGCAAAGCACATCCCCACCTAGGGAGGGAAAAAACCAACCCTGGATGCGGGTCAGCTCCTTGGTGTCATCCTCAGGGGATGCTGGAGGATTTGAGCTCGCCCTGGCCACAGTGTCTGCAGGGCTGGGGGCCATGGCTGCTCCTTGCTGTGGCAGAGCTGATCCCGTGCTGACCCCCCTGTCTGGGCCAGCTCCAGCTGTGTAGCATCTTGTAAGGAAATTAACTTTTCACTGATCTCCCAGCTTTGAGCTGGGGATTAGAGCCCACACGCGCTGCGAACGGGCTCTTCCCTCTTTCCAAGGCCTTTTTGGGGCTGGGATGGCAGGGAGGGACAACTGCCCTGCCTGGGCTGGGCCCGCCTTCCCCCACGGTAAGGTTCTTGGTTCCATTTTGGAGCTGGGCTCACTGCTGGCACCCCTGGCTCGTTTGTCTCTGTTTATAATTATAATCAGGTGATGGCAGCGTGGACATCCAGGTGGGGACCGAGCAGCCAGGCTGTCCCCAGGGACAGGCACCCCCATCACTCAGCATCCTGCCTGACCCCAGGCACCCTTGGATGGTCCTTTCCTACCTGCCTCCCTCCATCCCAGCCTGGCCCTGCTCTGGTGTCTCCAACGGGCAGAATTTGGGTTTAATATTGCCTCTGTCAGCCAGAAAGGCGAGGAAACAACCCCGCGAGCTGCAGAGCCGGGAGTACCGCAGTAATAAACAGCAGGTCGAGGCTGGAGATTGGTGCTGCTGGTATGAAAAAGAGGACAGGCAGGTTCGGAGCTCCGCTGGCTAATTAAGCAGCAGCTCCCTATAATGCAAAAGCCTTTTCTTCGCCGATAAGACCCATTTATAATGGGCCGAGCGGTCGCAGGCTGAGTGCTGGGGGGAAACAATTGGAAAGCATGCTGCTGGTGGGGCTGGGTTTTAAAAATAGACATGAAGGGTTTGCTTCTGGGCTTTTTTTTATTTTTTTCCCCCCCTCTTTTTTAATAAAAAAGAGCAGAAAGCAGCTCAGAGCTGCAATGAGAGTTCCCCATGGCCTAGAGGAAGAGCAGGGCTCTGAGGACAGCACCGAGCATCCCGTGAGCCCAGCAGGAATGCTTCAAAGCAGGGAGCACGGTGATGCATCAGGCTCACAAGCCAAGTAGTCCCCAGGGACAGAATGGGAAACTATCCTGAGGGAGGGAGGGAGGGAGGGAGGGAGGAAATGGACCAGGGCTGCACACGCTGTCCTTGCCACAGCCAGTGCACAGCCACTGGCACTGGATGGGAGCAGGGGGACAGCGTGTGCCACTTCTCTGAGTGTCTCCTGCACTGTGCTGGGCTCCAGCCAGGCCCTGCAGCTGCTGAAGGGGGGGACTTGCACCCAGACCTGGCACCACTCATGGCCCCTCTCCACCCAGGAGTGCCCCACAGGAAGAGCCTCGACCGAGTGGCCGGATCCTGCCGCCACAGAGGGTCAGATCCTGCCGGGATAACGCCAGGATAACACGCAGAGGTGCTGCCAGTGAATAACTCTGATACCACCTGGATGCCAGCCCGGGAGATGATAGGGTCTGGGAGGGAGGCCAGGACACCCGGGTGCCAGCCCCCAAGATAGGGTGCTGGGCTGGGAGCCAGGGCTCCTGCCTGCTCCTTCCTTTTGCTTCCAGTGGTTCTCCTCTAACTGGCTGTCTGGGAGCTGCCAGCAGATTGGGGTGCAGCCCTGTGCTCAGGCCAGCTCCCATCAATACAACCTGAAGCAATGGGAAAGCTCCATAGGTTAAAAAAAGGAAACACTTCATATTTTTAACCTCTCCTGTGAGCACTGGACCCGCATTTCCCTGCCCCTGGGAGCCCTGGCCACTGCTGTTTTGCAGCATCAAGCACTAAATATTTATTTAACTTCCTGCCGTATTAGAACTAATCACTCGTATTTTCCATCAAAGCTTCATTTTCATCTTAACGTAATTCCATCTGTGCACGCACAGCCGCATCCTGCTCACTGGAAAGGCAGCTCTGAGGCTGTTGGTTGCACCCACTCTCAGCAGAGATGGGGGTTCTGTCTCATTTCATCTCAGAGCACAGACTGGGAGCCCTGTGTCCAAGCCTGGCTTCTCCATGGATTCTCATTCCTGTCGCAGGGATCCCACAAGCAATGACATAGCTTGTCCCAGGAACAACGAGCCACCCCCAAAACGGGCTCACAAAACACCTGATTCCCAAATAATCTGGCAACATCCTCTATTGCTCAAGGTCCCAGTGTGCTCCATGACAGCAGAGATGCCTCCATCCCACAAGGAGCCACCATGGGTTTGTTCCCAGCAAAGCCCTGAGCCTGGGTGCAATCCTGATGTGTGTCCCACCGCCGGCTTCCCACCACCCGCCCCACAGAGCGGCTCTTACTGTCTTTGCGGTAGTAGAGGATCTCCAGCTTGCACTCCTCGGAGCCCAGCAGGGCCTGGGTGAGCTGGGCAATGGAGCTCTTGGTGGTGTCGGGGCCCGTGAGGAAGTCGCAGGTGCAGGGCTGCTGCATCACCTCCACGCGCGAGTAGCCGAACATCTCGCAGAAGCCGTCGTTGCAGTAGATGATGGCGCAGTTCTCCATCTGGGCGTTGGCAATGAGGAACTTGCGGTCTGCAGGGAGGCAGGAGAGGCAGCACGAGGCTTAGAGGGGTGGTGGGGACCCACTGGGGTGTGGGGGGCGAGCTTGGGATTTTTGATGTCATCCTCTGTGGGGCTCATGCAGAGACGGGTGACACTGGTGACAGTGGGGGGACAGCGGCTGACCTCAGCCCACACAGTCCCAGGACTGCTCCGCTCTTCAGAGAGAAGTGTCCCCAATTCAATGTGAATTTGTGACTGTGGGACAGGGGGACCCAAAGGGGGGTTCTCAGTGGAGCCAGTTTTGCTGGGATTGGCCAATCCCTGCAGCCTTGACATTTCACCACAGGCGTGTGGGGACTCCCTGCTGTCTAATGGGCAATCTGTCCCTGACCGGCACTGCAGGCAGAGGGGAGAGCTGCAGCCTCTGTCCCTTCCCAGGAGCTTATCAGGGACCTGAGTTATCTCAGAGACTTTCCACCCTTGCTCAGATTTGACTGAAGTCAGGCAAGGGGCAAGAGGAGGAGTGAGTGTAAGGCTTGGCTTCATGAGAAGCAGGGGTGAAACCCATCACATTAATGATTCTCCTAATGTTTTATAGGATAATTGTGCCTTTGGGCTGAAGGTGAAATCCAGACTCTGCTGGGCTTTGTGGCCCCGTGCTCAAAAAGTAAAGTGCTTAAGGGAAGGAAAAGGGAAACTGAGGCAGAGAGTGGTGCTGCCCCATTCCCTCCTGGTGCTGCAGCCACCCAGGCTGGGCTGGGGCCAGACTTGCTGCCTTGCCAGGCCGTGTGGCAGTGCTGCACAACCCACGTCATCCAGCCCACATGGAGCCACTTCCATCCTTATCTTGTGGTGAACTCTGATTTGGTTTGATTTTGTGGGTTTTTTTAAGGATATCGGGGAGTGCTGGGCTCTGGGACAGGTTTGCTGGATGCCCATGTGGTGAATGCCCCTCAGCACGTCCCCCTCAGCACCATCTCCCTCAGCATTTGGCATCAGCTCCGGGCCTGAGCTGAAGGCAAGTCTGAGCAGAGGGTCCATTTGGAGGCTGCCTCCCAGCCCAGACCCCAATTAATCTCCTGGATTACCCAGGAATGGCATCTGCAGCTTGCGTGCTCCAGAACCCTGCTGCACTCCAGCTTCGTGGGCAATTTCACCCAAATGCAAGAGAAACCTCTGCACAGCTGTGGCACCGAGTGCTGGGACCTGGTGGGGTGGGGGGACCCCTCCCAGGCACATCAGAGCTGTCCCCAATGGCACCTGCGGGGTCCCAGCTCTGCAGGATTCTTCCCAGTAAAACCAGTGCTCCGAGGGATGCTGCACAAGCCTCCTGCCTCATTCCACCCTCTGGCAGCCCCTTGGTAGCCCTTTCTGGGGGACTCCCACTCTGGCACCCTTCCCTTTCCCACACAGGGCTGGTGCTGGTGCCGATGCTGCAAACAGCACAAACCACCACAGACAAACGTTTCCCAGTTCCTTCTTCCCGATCCTTCTACATCCAAATTGCTTTGCCAGCACTAGGAGGGGACCTCCTCCCAAAGCCCTGCTCCTGGGGCACACTCCCCACCTGTGATGAGCAGTGTCCCCATCCTGTGTCAGCTCCACAGACTGGATCCAGGCTGGATCCTGGCTGGGCTGGCGCAGGACAGGATTTACAGGGCTGGCAGGGCGCCGGAGCAAGCTGTGCTGAGCACAGGGATGTGACCACGACCAGGATGGGAAGGAGCTGCAGAGCCAGGTCTCCTTGGGGGTTTTTTCACCCACAATTTGCTTTCTGTCCTGCTCTCACCTGCAGATTTCCCCTTGGCCCCACAGTACAGGGCTCTGCACCAGCCCTGGCAAGGAAGAGCTGGGCCCCTCTGGCTGCAACGGGGACTCACCAGGAGCAGCTGCACCCAAGGGAGCTGCGGTGCTGGGGGTGAGGGCAGCACCCACAGGCACGGAAGAACTCATTGCCTGTAGCAAAGATGTATTAGGTGTGCTGGTTTGCTGTCTCCCAACACCTGTCACAGCACGAAACTGCCGCGGGGGAGCGTGGGGCGATGTTTGGGCAGAACGCAGCTGGTGCCCGACATGGCTGGCAGGGAGCGGGCAGGGAGCGGGGTCTGGCTGTGTTCTCCTGTCACGCCTCACCGCGTGGCCCCGCTGCTCCCCAGCCGCCGCTTCCCAGGGGGAACTGATAGGAACCAGGGACAGTTTTTCTCACTTTCCATCCCCAGGGTCACGTCAGTCACCGCCAGGCCAGGCAGCGCAGAGCCTGCAGGGATGGCAGCGCCAAGGAATTTGCCCACTCGGGAAACTTGGACACCCCCAAAAAAACCAAAACCCACAGTGAGCCGGGGCAGTGAGGGGTGCACGGCCCCGGCACTCCACAGCAGCCCCCCGAGCTCAGTTTTTGGGGGACCCCGGTGCCCTGGTTCCCTCCCGTCATCCCCAGCATTGTAGGGGGGACCCAGCCCCGTTGGGGCGCCCAGAGAGTGGGAGCGGAACCCCCGCGCCCCCACCCAGCCACACGCAAACCCCAGCGCTCCCCTATGCGCACGGACTTTTCGCTATATTTGACACGAAACCAGCCCCAAAATTCATATAAAGGGATTACTCGGAGCAGCAGCAAATGGCAACGTTTCACCAGGGACGGCGGCCGCCGAGAGCGCAGAGTTGAAGGCAAACAGGCGGCGAGCCCGGCTGCGCTGGGGTACACCGTGTCCCCCCGTCCAGCCCGCCGGGACCCCCTCCCCGCCAGCCCGGGCACCCCGTCCCAGCCCGGGGACCGGGGGGTCGCGGTGTCCCCGGGCAAACACTGAGGCCGGGGTGGCTCGTCCCCCGGTGTCGCCCTATCTATAAATACCCGCGGGGACACTGCCGGGCTGTCGCCCACCCCCTCTCCCCCCTTGGGAGGTCACAGGGGCGCCTCCGTGCCCCCGGGGACACCCTCCCGCCTTCCCCCCTCCTCTCCCCGCTGCGCTCCGAAGTTGGGGGGCCGCCCCGGCCGCGGGGGAGCGGAGCGGGACCGGAGGGCGCGGTACTCACTTTGTCCTTCAAATTTGCGAATGATGGTGTCCAGGTAGGTGTTTTGGGGGGCCACATGGCCCCGGCGCACCGGCATCGCTCCGCTGCGCTCCGCGCGCCCCGGGAGCGGCGGAACTTGCCGCGGGCGCGGCGGGGAGCGCGGCCCGGCCCCGGAGCGGCGCGGCACGGCACGGCGCGGCCCCGCTCCGCCTCACCCCAGGGCTGACCGAGCTCTGGAGCCCAGCCGGCCCGGGGCTCCCATGCTCCCGGTGGCCGGAAGGGGGAACCCCTCCGCCCGCCCTGCCGCGCCCGGCCCCGGGCGGGGGCGGCCGGGGAAGATGAGGATGGGAGGGGGAAGCGGGGGAGAGAGGGGGGAGGACCCGCTCGAAAGCGGGAGAAAATAATAGAATAAAATAATAAAGAGTAGAAATCCCCAAAGTGCTTAGTCACCGCTGCCCCGGCCGGCCGGAGGCTCCGGGGGAGCCGTCAGCAGCAACAGCTGCCGGCCGGGCAGCGCGCACCCCCCGGCGGCCCCCGGGGCTCCCCCGGACCCCCCGGCATCCCGCGGCACCGCAGCCGCACGGCCCCGGCCGGCAGCGGCCCCCAGGGCGGGGGGGCTCCGGGGCGGGGCGCGGGGCGGGCCGGGGGCGCAGGTGGGTGCTGGGGGTGCGGGGGTGGGGGGCCTGGAGGGGCTGGGGCAGGGCGGGCGGGCAGGTGAGAGAGGCTTTGGGGATGGTTTGGGGGTGGAGGGAGAATCCCTGTGGGGCGTGGAGGGGTGGGGATGGGGTCCTCGGGGCGCTGGCAGAGGATGTCCTGGAGGGAGCGGGGTGTTGGAGCTGGAGGCTGTGCTGGGGATGGGGGGATTTGGTGGGAGTGCAACTGAAAGGTGCTGGGGCGCTGGAGGAAGGGGCGGTGAAGGAAGGGGTGCTGGAGAGGGGTGCTGGAGGAGGAGGAGGAGGAGGAGGCACCGGGAGCGCCGGGAGCTGACGGGTGGGGATGGTGAAGGAGGATGGTGGAGGAGGGAGCGATGAAGAGCGCTGGGGTGCTGGGGTGGCAGAGGAGGGGGTGCCGGGGTGCAGGGGGTGGTGCCGGTGGTGCTGAGGTGCAGGGGGTGGTGCGGGGGCGGAGGAGGAGATGCAGAGCCGCAGAGGCAGCAGAGGGGGTGCTGCTGGGTGCAGGGGTTGGAGGGGGCAGCGTCTGGGGGTGCAGGGGGGCAGGAGCAGAGGACAGGGCGCTGAGGAGGGGGCGCAGCCCGAGTAGGGAGTGTCGGAGAGTGGGAATGGGGTGCAAGGGAAGGGGAGCGCGGGGGCTTTGTCGGGATGTTGGGAATGCCGGGGGATGCCGGTGGGGAGGTCAGGGTGCTCCCAGAGGTTTCCGAGGGGGAGGTCAGGGTGCTCCTGGGGTGCCGGGGGTGTCGGCCCCGCACCTGGCGCTGTCCAGCCGAGGTGGTGCTGAAGGGGCGGGCGGGAGGGGGGGACCGGCTGCTTCTTTTGGGGGCGGGGGGCTTGGTACGGGACGGCCCAGCCTGGCACAGGGCTCTGCGAGCACGGGAAATCCTTGAGGAACACGGAGTGTTCTGAGAGTCCTGAGAACTGTGAAGGACATGGAGAGTCCAGAGTGTTCTGGGAGCTCTGGTGGGCATGGAGAATACAGGAGGTTCTGGGGTCACAGAAAGCCCCATGGGCTCTGTAGAGCACGGGAGCCCTGCTGGTGCCCCAGCTCTCTGTGGGACATTGGGGTCCCACAGTGATGCTGCACTGCCAGAGCAGATGTTCAGACCTAGACCCAATTCAGTTCTTCCCCTGCCCACCTCAGGGGTGGAGGCCAAGGGGGACCAGCTCCGTTTCCTTCCTGAGAAATCCACTCTGGCTGACCCTCTTCTCCTGTGTCCACTGCTAAGGACAGTGTCCACTGAGGGGCTTTCTATTATTATTTTGTTATGCATGATTTTTCAGGCATGAAATTGCTCTAAGAGGATTATGGTCCATTATCATCAACAGAAGTGTTTTGCTGGGATTTTCAATTAATATTCCAGTGCACCTCAGGGATGTCCATGTGGACCAGGCCATGCCAGTGGGGCACTCGACCCACAGCGTGGTTTGCCTGGTTTGCCTCCTGTCCCTTGGCCAGCAATGCAAGTGGGTGAGGCAAGTGCCCTTTCAGCCCATTTTGGAGGCTCAGTGCTGTTTTTATCTCCATCTCTCAGAGAAGTCAGCCTTCCCTAACGCAGAAAAACTTGTTCTATTGTTGAAGAGGGTGAAAAACCCATTATCTCCCCCCATCCACTCTGCACACTGCCTCTGCCGTGATTTACTGCGACTCGTGGAGGATGTTTTGCTCTATATTACACAGATGCAGCTTAATAGCATGGGGGAGGGAGAGGGACACAGAGTCCAGACTCCTGCCTTCTCTGTTTTCTTGTTGATATACTGTGTGACTCAAGGGAGACAGCTCTGTGCCGCAATTTCCTTTAGAAAATAGGGACATTGGTCACTTGGCCTGGTAAAACCTCTTTGAGATTCCTGGATGACCAGTTCTGCAGGGGAAAGCAAACCCTTACTACTACAGCTAATATGATAGTAATTATGATTATTAATCACCAGGCAGCCAGGATTTAAGGTTGGCCTCCTGCCCTCCCCTCATCCCATAAATCAGCCCGGGATGTTCATGGACGCGTCACGTGCACGAGGATGTGTCTGACAGAAAGGGCACGTGCCAGCCCAGAGCCCTTCTGGGGGGTGCCCAGAGTGGAGGGTGGGGGCACCAGCACAGCTCTGGGCACGGGGCAGGGAACAGCCCCTCTGCCAGGGCTGGGCTCTGCAGGGACCCCCGAAAGGCTTGTCCTGCTCCAGCCGTAGCTGTGGGGCCCCTCTGATCCCCCTTTCTCCAAGCAGGGCGTTTGTCCCAGCACGTGGAAGAGCCTCTCCTGCCAGCCCCGTTCCCCACACAGCCCTTGCATTTGGAGCTGAGTCATGTCATTCTCTTTCAGGTTATTATTGACTAAGCTCCAGGAGCTTCCCAGTGCACCCTTGGCTCTTGCAGTCCCCTCACAGCTCCCCAGGCCCCTCAGTGCATCCCTGTAGGGGCAGGTCACCCATGCAGCTGCCACTCCATGCCCTGCCCTCTTTGGAGCACTTTATGCCCAGACTTCTTTCAATTCCCTGGGTTTTAAGCATATGCTTGTAGTTAATCCTGCGCTTACAGTTTATCCCAAATTGGAAAAATTGGGGTCTTTGGGCAAATTCTCCTGCTGTTCAAGTCAGCTGAAGGGCTCCCTCTAATTTAACTGAACAGTAATCCTCTCTCTCCCTGCCCTGCTCTCCTCCTCCTCCTCCCTCACTCAGTTCTACTTCTCCCCCCTCCTCCTCCTCCTTTTTCTCCTCACTGAACGTTTTTGAGGTTTTACTCCTTTCCCCTTTTTTTTTCCCTTTCCCTTCCTTCCCACACCCTGGGGAATCAGTGGGAAATTACCTGGTTTCCAAGGGCAAAGGAGACCTGGGTGCTTCCCGAGGGTGTCCTCCCCCTCCCTGCTCCTGGGATTTCTGATCTGTGCAGGAAATTTTCACCTCCTCAGGGAGGGGCTGCCCTGGGCAGGCACAGCCACGTTGGGAAAGGAGTGCAGCCTTCCTGGGGTATGGATTTGTGGTGGGAGGTGTGGGATGGAGGGGCTGGGAGCCCACTTGGATGCCAGCATGGCAGCTGCCGGCTGGCACTCGCCAGGAGAAATGTTTGCCAACCGAGACGCGACATTTCTGCCTCTTTCTGCAATTAGAGCCACACTGCAAACACAGCTGGGAAGGGAGAGACAGGGCTCTCATGGTCCCCAAAGCTGCTTCCAGCCACCAGGACTGTCCCCAGGCACCTCAGGTGTCCTTCTGCCTGGCACGGCTCATGCCCCGGCTTTGCCCTTCACCTTTGGAAGATGCTCCATGGATTTGACACGGGATGGAGGAATTTGGGCTGTAAATTTATTTTGCAGGTGGAAGGATGCTCCTTGTTTTGGCTCCTTTCTCTGCCTCACCACTCCAAATCTTGATGTATTTTTTCAGGCTCTCACCTCCACACTGTTTGTTTGTTAAGTATAAAACAAAAACCCAAAACAAGGGTAAAAATGCGCAGCAAAATTGAACTCTCTTCAGCCTGGGCCTTCCCAGCCCTGGGAGACTGCGAATCTGGAAAGGACTCGGTGACATTAAACCAAGTCACGGACATTGTTTCTCCTGACAAAGCCACTTCCCACTTGTGAGTGGCAGGAAATGCCACGGAGCCTCTGCTCTGGGCCGTGGCCACTCAGGTCATGGCACCCCCCTGGCACCCTGCCTGTCCTCCCTGCACAGCAGGGGAAACTGAGGCACGGGGCAGGCTCGTGACTCACCTGCCAGGAGGATGGATGGGGCCTGCAGGCTGCAATAACTCGTGATGCTGCAGGGAGGAGCAGGAAAAGGCAGCATGCAGCGGGTCTGCCTGACTGGGAGCTCCCCTGGGCACGGCGGAGAGGAGCCTGTGCCAAGTTCCCAGCACTTTTGGTGGGGACAATTCTCTCCCTGTCACCTGGGCTGCCTCAGTGGGACAGTGTCAGCTCAGGGGGCAGCCCCAAAGGGTGGGGACGGTTCCCCACCAGCACTGGGACATGGGCAGATCCCACTTTGGGGTCCTGCTGCTGAGGCACCCGGGGACAGGGCGATGGTGCCCGTGCAGGGCAGGGGCTCTGTGGGGCTGGGGAGGTGGTCAGCACAGCTGGCACCCCTGGGTGCATCCCCTGGGGAGGACGGGACCCCAGTGGGTGCCCAGCACATCCAGCCACAGGCAGGGATGACACCCCTCCATCAAGGAGGGACATCGGGAGTAGAGCTGTCATTTGCCTTGGATCTGGCCCTGTCCCCCTTGGTAGGGAATTCCAGCTGAGCCATGGGGCTGGGAAGAGGCTGTACTTGCTTGGGGGGGAAATATGGGGTCAAAATTCACCTTTACTCCCCTCAGCCCTGCTTGAGCAGTGGGAGGGAAGGATGGTGCTGACCAGAGCTCACAGGGGCTGCAGGGATGGAGCTCTCCCGGCCCCTCCTGCATCTCACTGCATCCCTTCCACAATTCCTGTCC